ATATGAAGGAAGTGAGGGATGGAAGGCTCTGCAGAGTGTGTGTATTAAAAAAAACAAGTTTAAGTGACACTGGGATAGAAAACAAAAAGGTAAAGTTGGCTGTAATTTTTCATCAAGTTTTTTTAATGAATAATGCCTTTTGTTTTGAGTTCATTTTATTGAAATGTCTGGGTTTTTTTGACAAAAAAAGTAAACCAAAAATTTTCAGTTTTTGTTGTTTTCCCCCTTTCTCTCCCTTTTTTCTTCTCACCCAGTAGAACAATGACAACAACTAAGAAAAACAAGAAGAAAATGGGGAAAATGAGAGGAAAAGGGGAGGAGGCAAAGAACAAAAACCATCTTTTTTTTTGGTTTTGAAAACCAAAAAAAGAACATTTTTACAGACTTCATTTCTTAAAAAATTAAAAGTGAATTAAAAATGAAGAACGTTGAAAAAAAATTCATTCAAAAATTTTTCATTTAAAAGTTAAAGGTTTCAGGCTACTTATAAGATCAGAAACAGCCCCGAGGTGATGTGTGATCTGCTTTAGGCTCAGGAAGCTGCCCAGGAGAAAAGCCTACTTATTCAATAGCGGGCTTGACTGCAGCCTACTCATGGGAGCACCCCTTACTCACATGTGAAGTCCCATTGACTTCAGTGGGACTGTGTGGGTGAGTAAACATAGCAAGATCATGCCCCTAAACACACATACCTTATTCTTTGAGGGGCAAGATGATAACTGTCTAGGATTCTTCCAGTGACCTGAATTATTTAAGAAAGAAGATGCCTGAAAACCCTTGGTGTCACTTATGGGAGCCACAGAAGAACATTGTTTCAATTGCCCCAGATTTAAGTACATCGTTCTCCAATGGAACTGTGACCATTCCTCTTGAAAGCCTTAATTAGCAGTGCCAGTGTGTGCACACTGTGGTAATTGTATGCTATCCTTATTTAATGGCTAAATCTAAGCCTAGCTGTATCTATAGCAACATGACCAGATTACAGATTAGAGCTGTCTAAATAAGCTTGTAACATAATTTGCTGTCAAATTCTAATTGGGGTTATTATCTAGTGCTTTTTTTTTTCCTTCCACAAAGAATGTTGTCATTATAGCTGCTCCCTCAGCAACTTTTGCATGGCATTTATGCTTTAAAAAAGTAGGATTAATTCATAGAATCATAGAATATCAGGGTTGGAAGGGACCTCAGGAGGTCATCTAGTCCAACCCCCTGCTCAAAGCAGGACCAATCCCCAACTAAATCATCCCAGCCAGGGCTTTGTCAAGCCTGACCTTTAAAACCTCAAAGGAAGGAGATTCCACCACCTCCCCAGGTAACGCATTGACTAACACTATCCATTCAAAATCTGTTTAGAAATGTGTATTTTGACTACAGTATGGTGCTATGGTTTATTATGCATCTAACAGCGAAATGGAAAGAATAAATTCCACAAGGTCTGTGAAGCTCTAACTGCAGACAGAGAAGCATGAAAAGTTCTGGGAAGAACGACAGAAGGGAGGAAAGCTTAGTTACAAGTCCATCTATCTATCTGTGCTTTTATACTGCACTTGCCAACATTGTATCTGAACATCTAGTCACAGGATCACTTATACTAGATTGTTAGACCTTAGAGACATTCACGCTGAGGATTCAAGCATATTAGAAGTATTATTCAACCCGTACAATAGCCCTGTGGGGCGGGTACTAAATACTGTGATTCCCGTTTTACACCTGGGCAAACTGACGTACAATGCGGTTATGTGAGCGGCTAAAGATCACATAGGGCTCAAGCCAACACCCAGTGTAGCCAATGAAAAGACTGCCATTGACCTCCGTGGACATAGGACCAGACTCAGAGCATGCAGAACTGGTAAAAGAACATAGTTCTCTCTCCCACTCCCCTGCTCTAACTATTAGTGAAGTTTATTTGTGCCTTGGTGGATATGGACTGGAGATATTGAAAACAAGTCAGTGATTTGGATCGGTCTCTGAAATGGTTGATTGATGCCAGGAGTTTCTATGCTTCAAATAATGTAAGGGAACCCATTGTTATTAATCCGTTTTGAACCCTAATATTGCTCTTTAAAGGTCTGATCTAAACCCCATTGCAGCGAAATCAGTGGAAAGAGTCCCTTTGACTTTAAAGGGCTTTGGATTAGGCCCTGTGGTAATGAACAGTGACTTCCTTCCAAAGAGAGAGGTGATAATTCTGGTTGTAAATAAAAATTCCTGTTTTAATTTTCAATACATAAAATACTGAGCTTGTTGCAGCCTCTGCCTGAATACTGGATTCAGAGACTGTATATTAGTCAACCTGCAGCCAGACTCTGCTGCAAAAGAGCTGCCGGGCTGGGTCAGACCATCTTGTCCAATATCTTTTCTGTGACAGTAGCCCAGAGCTTCAGGGGGAGTATACTGAACAGGGCACTTCTGAAGTGATCCACCCCTGTCTTCCACTCCCAGCCTCTGATAGTTAGAGGTTTAGGGTTGCCCTAAGCGTAGGGTTGCATCCCTGACCATCTCAGCTATTCGCCGTCGATGGACCTATCCTTCATGAACGTATCCAGTTCTTTTTAAAATCCAGTCATGCTTTTGGCCACCACAACATTCCATGGCAATGAGTTCCACAGGTTAGTTGTGCGTTGTGTGAAAAAATGCTTCCTTTTGTTTGTATTAAACCTGCTGCCTATTAATTTCCTCGGGTGACCCTACATTTTTGTAGCGTGGGAAAGGGTAAATAACACTTCTCTATTAATTTTCTCCACACCATTCATGATTTTATAGGCCTGTATCATAATCCACCCCCCCTTAGTTGTCTCTTTTATTAAGTAGAACAGCCCTAATCCTTTTTAGTCTCTCCTTTATGGCCGTTCCATAACCTTGATCATCATTGTTGCACTTCTCTGAACTTTTCCCAGTTTCATTAAATCCTTTGGAGATGGGGCAACCAGAACTGGACACAGTATTCAAAAGCAGTGTGGGTGCACCATGGATTTATATAATGGCATTCTGATATTTTCTGTCTTATTTTCTGTCCCATTCCTAATAGTTCCTAACATTGTTAGCCTTTTTGACCACTGCTGTGGACTGAGCAGAAATATTCAGAAAACTATCCACAGGGATTCCAAGAACTCTTTCTTGGGTGCTAACAGCTAATTTAGAACCCATCATTTTATGTGTATAGTTGGGATTATTTTTTCCAATATCATTACTTTGCATTTATCATCAATGAATTTTAATCTGTCATTTTGTTGCCCAGTCATCCAGTTTTGTGAGATCCCCCCCTAACTCCTCGCAGTCTGCTTTGGACTTAACTATCTTGAATAATACTAAGATCCTGTGACCTTAGCTCTAGTTTATGCAAATGAGCAGCTTAAAATGCCTCATTCACATGAAACCGATGAGAAGCACAAATTCTCCTTATATGTGGGTGTGTATATTGGATGAACTAGTATAGTCAGCACTCCATTCCAGGGCTGCTGGATCCAAGCCAGGATTTACCTGGGTGGTAATATTAGGCACCACAGGCTACATTTGTTTGGTCTCCTGCTGGAGAGCCAGAGGGGACTATTGGGTCTAGTCCCTCTCCTTACCTTAGGGGAAACTGCAGGCTGCAGTGCTGTACAGGAGATGTGGTATGAGAGAAGACAAGAGGAACATGCTCAGATAATGATTTCCAGTTACTACTATGAGTTTAGAGACCAAATTAACCAGTCACTAGTTGCCTAGTGAGCGAATGCAGTGGCCTTTCATCTCTGGAACCTGCTTCTATTCTTCGCTTTGGGCACATGTGGAAATGACTTGGGTAGTCCCATCCTTGCCCCTCGTTGCAATCAAGATCCATATCATACAACAACCACTTCCTTTGTCGGGATTAGAACCTGTACCATTGAAGTGCTGAGTACCCACAACTCCCATTGACTCTGGTGCTCAACCCCTCTCTGGATCTTTCCCTCTGCCAGCAGATAGGCAAAGGGGACAGCTGCCTGGGTTTTATGTTTTTTTTTAAATAAGCTTGATATTTATTTACTGAATGATGACTTTTAATGAATCCTGGCTGAATTAAACATTGCCTGAAATGCAGCATGCTAAGTTCTAGCACCATCTGCTGTGCACCTTACCAAATTCACAAATGAAGTCAAACTCCTGACTGCAGTTTTCTGTCATGCCCCATTCGTAGCCAGCATTCTTCAGGATGTACCCACAATTGGCTAAGAGAGACGGCTGATCCTCGTGCCAGTTGCTGTAGCTTATATTTGAAGTGTCCAACCAAATCAATGATCCTGTGAACAAAGTAAACCACATCAAAAATGTCTGTAACCATCACTTGGAATTAGCCAGCTCCTGGAACTCTGGACTGAGCCTCCAGAGTCTAGACTACAACAATTAAGACTACTAGAGTCTGGATTTGGGACAGAATGGACTAGAAACTCCTGCTTAGGTCAGTAGGGAGGTGATAGGGTCAAGCAGTCAGGGATGCTCATCTGCTCTGGGAGAGGACGGCCTGACTCAGAGATATAAAGGCATGTTTTTGTTTCAATTTGGAGTTTGGGAGCAGCTCAGAGAGAAGCAGAACAGTTCAGAATCAGTCTCTGAGTAACTCCCCTTCCCCACAAAGAGAGTCTTTGAACTTCTGTGGGATCTAGGGCATGGGTCAGGCAGTTCCAGCCCTGCAGAGACCAGCATTGAGTGGCAGAGACCTGACTCGGCTACCGAGAGCCAGCCGAGTAAGTTGAGCAACCATCCCTTATTTTCAGGGACCATCCCGTATTTCATTGGTTTGTCCCTTTGAGGGTGACCACCTGTCACTGATTTTAAGATTTATTGATATGTATTGTAAGTACCATTTTAAACATTAAATTGAAGCATGATAATTGCATTATATCATACTGAGGGCAGTAGAAATGTACACTTGAGAGAAAAATCTGTGATATGCTAAGGGAAATGGTGTTTCCCTAAAATATCCCTTAAAATAAAGCACTGTGCCTTATTTTTCTTGTTGTTTTCCTCCATCTAACAAAGGTGGTCACCATACACAAGACTGCAGCCCAGGGAGCCAGGAGAGGCCCTTGCTCCAACTGAAGGCAAAGACACTGTAAGAGGATCCTTTTTTTGTTTAAACCAGCCAACATTCTCAGTGCTGCAGCAACCCCTCATGCGGGCAGCTGGGGGTTGGGAAGAGGTGGGAGGTGAGAAATTTGGTGATGTTTTTACTACTTGTTAATTAATCCTAACACTTTCCTTCCCCAGATCCTAATTTCCTGCTCCCAGGAACGTTCACCTTTGTTATACTGTTGGTTTTGGTGGCATTTTTTGCTGGGGTTTATATTGATGTACTTTGTTGTTTCCTGTATACTGGGTTTTATACTCCTTGCCAGCAGTGGCAACTTATTCAGTTTCCCAAGGGACAGCACCCTTTTATATCTCAGCACAATGAGGAAGTCACCTTGGAGGGAGAAACCAAGTATCACAAAAAAGAACCCAGAACCCAAACCATAAGAGGAGAGGGGAACAGCCACTCCAAGTAGTGAGTTCCAACGAAGAGGCTCAAGCCACACCTCGTGGGAGATGTGGGCTATTGTCAGTAAGAAGCACAGCTGTAATGCAAGTCCTGCAGTCCTTACTCTGACAAATCTCCCACTGAAGCCAAAGGCAGTTTTTCCTGAGTTGCGGTGCTAGGATCAAGCTCAATATCACCAACATTGTATATCCTCTCAAATGCTTATGCTGGAGTAATGTAGGCATGTTGTTCTGACAGAGATTCAGGTTTTCCTCCTGAGCAGGTATTGAGTCCATGGAAATTCAAGCCACTGCAAGATGTGTCTGAATTGTCCTTGGATTAGAGTTATAATAATATTAACAGTGAGGTGCTTCCAACATTTTAACATAGGACACCCACAAAAATGCACCGCTCAACCTGTGCCAATCCCTATGTCTCAGGGGTCCATGGACACACAAGGTGGACTGGGGGTTCTAGTCTATTATATCGCCATTTAAATAAGAATACATTCTCATAAACATGACTGAGGGGAGAAACACCAGTATTGGTCAGACAAACTTATATAAAGCTGCATTTTGATGGAAATGCTCATATGCAGTTTCTGAATAGGGTGATTGGATGTCCTGATTTTATTGGGACAGTCCCAATATTTAGGGCTTTTTCTTATATAGGTGCCTATTACCTGCTACCCCCATCCCAATTTTTCACACTTGCTATCTGGTCACCCTATTCCTGAAAAGCCTATGGAATTTATTGTTAGTACATTACAGAGCTCGGCTTGTGCCATTGGAAGAGGTGGGGGATGAAGACCTGGAAAGAGACTCTGGATGTATTCTTTTAAAATTGTATTTTTAAATGCTTAGCACCTTTCACAACAGAGTCTTCCAAGTCTCAGTGATTTTCACTGAGGAAATGTTTCCTTTTGCATCGCATTTAGGTACTGGATCATGTATATTCATTCATAAATTCATTGAGTTTAAGGCCAGAAGGGACCATTTGATCATCTAATTTGATTCCCTGCACATCACAGGCCCTTAAATTTCACTCAGTTACCTTGTTTGTGTGTGTATATGTATATATTATGTGTATATATATCGATAAAAAAGGGCAAAATTCTGCTCTGCTATACCAGTGACTAATGGACTAATTCCATTCTCTAACTTTATAGTATAGAGCAAGTCTACAATGGATTTACACTGGAGTTACGGAGAGCAGGATTTAGCCCATTATTACAACTGATGAACAACCCTGCAGTCATTTGAGATGAGTTAAGCAGAAAGCAAGCATGACATTGGGGTTTTTTTTCTGTTACAAGCATAACATTCCTATAGCTTTTGGGACAGTAGATATTAAATATTGTTTCTATCCCCAATATATAGATGGGAAAACTAAGGCAGAGAGAGATAAAATGATTTTACCCCTGGTCACACAGAAAATCAGTAACAGAGCTATGAATAAAACTCAGGTTTCCTTGCTTACAGTTTCCTGCCCTAGCCATTAAATTAGGTCCTGGCTTGTGTTTGAGATGGTCTTTCTTGTCTACATGAGTGTGGATATGTGAGCGTGTTTAAAATGGGCCATCAGCTTGAATAGGACCTCAGTAAGGTCTTCCAAATAGGGTCCATATAACAATAGTAGTTATATGTATTGCAATGTGACAGGTTTCAGAGTAGCAGCCGTGTTAGTCTGTATTCACAAAAAGAAAAGAAGGACTTGTGGAGCCTTAGAGACTAACAAATTTATTTGAGCATAAGCTTTCGTGAGCTACAGCTCACTTCATCGGATGCATTCAGTGGAAAATACAGTGGGGAGATTTATATACATAGAGAACATGAAACAATGGGTGTTACCATACATGGGTGTCCCCATCATAGGGCCTAATCACATCAGCCACACTGTCAGAGGCTCATTCACCTGCACATCTACCAATGTGATATATGCCATCATGTGCCAGCAATGCCCCTCTGCCATGTACATTGGTCAAACTGGACAGTCTCTACGTAAAAGAATAAATGGACACAAATCAGACGTCAAGAATTATAACATTCAAAAACCAGTTGGAGAACACTTCAATCTCTCTGGTCACTCGATCACAGACCTAAAAGTGGCAATGCTTCAAAAAAAAAAGACTTCAGAAACAGACTCCAACGAGAGACTGCTGAATTGGAATTCATTTGCAAACTGGATAGAATTAACTTAGGCTTGAATAAAGACTGGGAGTGGATGGGTCATTACACAAAGTAAAACTATTTCCCCATGTTTATTCCCCCCACATGCACACTGTTCCTCAGACATTCTTGTCAACTGCTGGAAATGGCCCACCTTGATTATCACTACAAAAGGTCCCCCCCACACCCACCCCTGCTCTCCTGCTGGTAATAGCTCACCTTAAGCGAGCACTCTGGTTACAGTGTGTATGGTAACACCCATTGTTTCATGTTCTCTATGTATATAAATCTCCCCACTGTATTTTCCACTGAATGCATCCGATGAAGTGAGCTGTAGCTCACGAAAGCTTATTTTCAAATAAATTTGTTAGTCTCTAAGGTGCCACAAGTACTCCATTTCTTTTTATGTATTGCAATAGTATCTACTGGCCCCAGCCAAAGATCTGGGTCCTACTGGGCTACTCACTTTACAAATACATCTTAGAAGACAGTCTCTGCCCCAAGGATTTTACTGTCAAAACACACAAGGCAGGCAAAGAGTGGGAGGGGGACAAGAAGTGCAAAGAGGTGAAGTGACTTGTCCAAGGTCAGTAGCAGAGGTGGGAATAGAACCCAGACGCCCAGACTCCTGGTCCAGAGGGTCATGATGCCTCTCATAATAGAAGCAGCTCTGTAATACATCGGTATATGCCCCTAGATGTCCTCTGATGATAGTAGAACAAAAGAGTGACTCATCAGCAGAACCCTACAGTAGGGTTTCCTTGCATTACTACAGTGAGGTACTATCTCTTTCAAGTTGCAACCCAACTTAAAAGAAGGCACTATTTCTCTTTTGAGATCACCTACCTTCTGTAGTTTCATTCTGAAGGGAACTTGAGGTCAGTCCTATCCACCACTCCCTGTCCTCGGAGAGATGTTTCTGCAAGAACTGTTGAGTTTCCTCATTTTCAATAAAAATGAGGTGCCCCCCTCCTCTCTCGCACCAGCTCTGGGCACTCGTGAAAGTGCGCTGGAGTCTCACAAACTCGTAGCACGAAAGGTTGAAAGCCACCTGGTACTTTGAACAAGGTATCCCCTCTTCAAGAGCAATTTTCTCCAAAGCCAAGCAGAGAACAAGAGAGGAGAGAACAGTGATTAGAAGCCACATTCTTAACTTAGTGATTGTAGCCCTCCATAGCACTGGTTTTTTGCACCACATCACCACCCTTTTTGTCCCTCTCTCTTCAAAGGCTTGGGCTGTCATCCTGTTACACCATTAATCTTTCTTTTTCCTCCTTGCTGTTTGTCACATAATACCAGCAATAGCATGGGGAACAGATTGCTCCTAATAAATAAAGGTTATTGCGTCTGGGGCTACATGCAGTAAGTGTTGATGCTAAGTCACTGCAGTGGGCGATATGAGAACCATTGTGTAAACGTCCCATTCCAAATCAAGCTGGTTTGCATAGTGGTCATTAGACTTTTCACCTCAGCCATGAGTGGAAAAGATAAAGTTGATATATGTTGTCATTGGGCATATGGTATGCTAAGATAATGCCTCGCCGTCAAAGGATTCATTGTACTGAACATTTGTGGGTGAGTGCTTTGCAACAACAAAAAGAGCTGTAATCAGTAGGAATGAATGAAGAAGGAGAAAAATCAGAATTTAGGAGGACCGGGAATTATAGAGATGGGAAAGAGCCAAGCTGCTCATCTAGATTCTCTAATTGTCTTGAGTTTCTCTTATTATTATTTCAGATTTGGGGTGCTAGTGTAAGATATATATAATTATCATATGATATTCACTCTGTTCTTGTTTTAACACACAGCCAGGAGACTCTCAGCTGTTCCAGTTAAGTTTCACTTTGGGATTTTTAATGCATTCCATTCAAAACAAGTAAACAACCCAGGTGAATTCCATATCTGGTGACAAAAAAGAAAATGCTTGCATGATCCCCTGTGAAGCTAAACAGAACTCCATTATTTATACTATCATTGCTGCCTGTGGCTTTAAGAGAAAGTAGATGAGAGAGTTAATGTTAAAACAAACTTGTTTTTCAAATTAAAATATTTCCTTGGTTATCAGAATGTCTTGGGGACCTTAAGTTTACATTTGTAAGCCTGTGGATCTGACACTGTAATAAGAAGTAGTGGGATGGCCTTTGGGAAGCTAGACCACAGTCTTTATGAGCTAAATTGCATACGTGCTTTTGAGCTTTCATGCAAAGGATGTCCTCCAGGTTTCCCAAAGTCTGCTGGCTCTGCATACCCAATAGGATTAGAGCTCTTTTTACCCTAGAGTCTCCAGGTCTGATTTTCCTCTTGCACTGGGTATTACATGGTGTAACTCCACTGAATTCAGTGTGGTTGCTCAATTTACACTAGTGTAAGTGCAAGGAGATTCAGGCTCTGATGTTTGATGATAAATCATGTCTTACAAAAATGTGA